GATTGGATAATCTGCCTGGGGACTGATTCTCCTCCTCTCAACAGCAATTAATTCCCTGTAGTTCTTCATCTAGGAGATGGACCTTGTGTGATTTCTCTCACATTCACAAGTCAACTGGTTTTCTTGTGTAGGTCTTGTTTAGGAGACCATACTTTTATGATTTTGTGGGTGCAGCTCCCTGTCGTATATAGAGGACACCATCTTGTAACAGACATCCTGGTTCTCTGGCTCCTACAATCTTTCTGTCCTCTCTTCTGCTATATTCCCTGACTTTAGCTGTAGGGTTGTATTATAGATCAACCAACTGAAGATGGATACCACATGGTGAGTTTTCCCTCTGCATTTTGGGTAATTAGAGATTTCTGTAATTGTCCCTATCTACAGCAAAAGGAAGCTTCTTTGGTGAGAGGTGAGACCCACACACCTTTGGGTAGAAATACAGGTGTTTAGAATGTAGTTGGGAATCACTCTGGTTTAGGAGTGTGGCAGTAGTAGGTTCTCCTCTAGGGTCCATGACTTCACCAGTCACCGGTAGTTGACTAGGTTTACAGTACCAGGCACGTATTCCTTCCTATGAAGTAGGCCTTCGGTCCAATTAAGTGATTATTGGTTACCCCAGTATAAAAGTGCCATTATTGCACTCTTGGATATATCTTGATGGTTGTTGATGCATTTTGTAGGCTTCATAGGTTGATATTCTCCCTTAGCAGCTAGCATAGCACCTTCAGATACTATGAGAGCAAGACCTCAAAGAGGAGGCTTCCAGGTCAGTTTCAGCTCAATTCCTTCAAGTCCTGTGTCTGAAGTGTGCAGTGTCTTCAGCAATAGGGTCTTACCTTCAAGTTCTGGAAGGCAACTAAGGGCAATGGCCATACCCTATCTATAATGTATTGGGAGTCTACTGGAATACCTGGAGCAGTGACTCAGAAGACAGCTTCCCATGTCTGGCACTAAGATATGCATATGGTATTGAGGAGGGAAAGAAATACTGAGGAAGAGAAAGGAAGGAGGGATAAAGAATACTAAGGATGTTTGAAAAAGCCAAAGAGAAATGTTGTCTTATGGTTTCTCATTCCTGATAAACCTACCACACTATAACCTAATAGGCAACATTCTGATCACACAACCAATTTCAGGTTCTTATGCCAGATTACTTCCAATCAAACAACAGAGTTTCAAATTTCAAATGCTAAAGAATAGCCTTGATAAGTGACTAAATTCTGAGCATGAGAATGTAAAAAGTTGGTTCTGTCTAGTAACTGTGTGTCCATCTTGGGTGTCTTGTAATATCCTAAGTTACTTCCCCAGGTTGTAATAAAGACCAAAGAAACAAAGTCAAGTGAGTTTGTAAAAGGAAGTGAAGAGAAGGAGCAGCAAAATATAGAGAGATTTGAAAAGTGGTCATTCATCTATTAATAATGCCAGTTATGTATATTCAGAAACAACACAACCAAGTGATGAGGGCCAGTCCACATATTCTATAATATGTGGATACCATAATAGTGAAGTGAAAAATCAGGATTTTGAGGCAAAGACCACTTTCTTTTTATCAGAAACTATCATCTTGGGGATGCTCTACCCTTCTCCACTCACATGGATACCCATGAGGAAAGAATGCTTGGAAACACACTTTCAGTGTCCTGTAAATTTGATGACAAATTTCTGAAGAATTGTGCTCAGATTTGGAGAAAAACAGGGACAGATAACAGCCTTAAAAAGAAAACCCTCAAAGAGTTCTATGACCCTAACCTCAGCTACCAGCCCCAGAGAAAAGAGAAAGACTTTGTCACACCCAGGATGTTATAACAAATGCATGGACCATCCTGGTAAGTATTTTGCTCAAAGGAAGAGAAGAAGGGGAAAGGCTGAAAGTCTCCACACAAACCAATCTTTTTGATGAAAGCATATTTCTTTTTTTTTCTCCTAGTCTCTACAAGACACTGCACAAAGTGCTCATTTATATTTTCTTTGTTTTCATCCCAAAGCTAGAAGATCAAAGAGTTAATAAAACCTTTTTGCCATGGAAGGTCATTACAAAACTAAATGCAGCAATTCAAAGTGGAAAATAGAATGGATGCCAAGGAGATGTTTAACGAAGTAACATTCTAGACGTATTCTTTGAAGAACATTTGCAGACTCATTTGATTGCCTCCGTGTGCACAGGGAACAATGTGTCTGCGGAGCTAACACTGACTGATGGTTGTGTTCTGCGGCACAACAACTAGACCAATAGGAATTGGGAGTGTGTTTGATATAGAATTACCTAATGTTCCTGAAAATAGTCATGAATGTTTTGCATAGCAAAATGGTATTTAAAACTTCCATACCTTTTCCCCGTTGGGCTTAATTAAATTCCCAAATGTGGGACGAGACTCTATTCATTTGAAAATGATTTGAAGTACTATTTTTCCAAGACTTGACAAAGTTGGATAGAAAGATGAAGGATTATTTTTTTATTTTTTATTTTTTTGTCTCCCACAAGCCACTTAGGTTTTTCTTTTACTCTTCCTTAGCATTAATATTTTCGGGTGGGAACACGTACAAAATGTAGACATTGTCAATCTTCCTATGTATCTGTTCAAGAGATGTTAGGGCACTAGACTCTAACTTTAATACCACATGACACAGTCTGGTATTCACTACCTGTGCTCTGAATCTTGTGGACTCTTTAAAATGCTGAAAGCTAATTCTTAGTGTAATATTGAGATGTAGACAGGTAGAGTTTTTAAAAGGCAAGTGAGTCAGGAGCACAAGGAATGAAGAGATAAGATTGATGATCTTGTAAGAAGTCTGAAGAGTTTGTTGGACCCTTCTGCCATGTGAAGGCAAGCTCGGTGACACTACCTATGAATCAGGAAAGGAGCCCCTCATCAAGCGTGAATCTGCTACTCTCTTGGTCTTGGATTTCCTAGCCTTCCAAACCATGAGAAACAAATTGGTGTTATGTATACATAACTGTATACATTGCCCACTGTAAGGTATTTTGTTAGAACAATCTAGAAGAACTGCAATACTATAGACCTGGAACATCACTTTAGGATCCATTGGACGGACTGCTTCTTCTGTAAGCAACAGCAGTGCAGCCTGGGTGTCAGAACTGCCCATCATCTGGTAGATTCATAGTTGCATTTCTTCCATGTTGAAGTAAAAAGAGTTACCTCCAGGGGCGTTTTGGGGACAGGCTGCAAGGCAGGTATAGTGAAAAGTTCAGGCAATGATTTTCAAAAGAATATAATGTAGTATAATAACAACAGTGAAATTCTGAAATAAGTAAATGAAGCTCAAGCACTGGAGTTTTGAATTATCTGGAGGCAAATACTTGACCTACTTCACTATGAAATGAAGGTTCTGAGCAGCGCTGCAAGCGGTGCTTCTGCCCGCCGAAGGTCTTTTCTCCCTTCTTGGATCCGTGGCGTATGCCATCTTCCTGCAAGGCCACCGGCTTGCAGATCTGGACAACAAAATGAAAGCGGGATATCAGGCAGCCCAGAGCTCTGTGCCTCAGGAAAGGAAACTGCCCTCCCGCTCATAAAAGGGCAATTGTGCTCAGTACCACTTATCCAGTGCCAACAATCTGGCAAGACTTCTATTCAGTTTTATACCAGGGCTCCAGCAAGGTGACCCCAGAGTGAGGCTGAGGTCAGGGAAAGGTCACTGCTTGAAAAATGAAACTAGTCAAAAGGAAAGAATCCTAGGAATGGGGGAGGCTGGTCACCCAGAAAGTAACCTAATGCGGAAGGTAGCATAGAGAGATATTTACAAGGAAATCCTATTGGCTGTTGCGAGCTGGAGCTAGGGTACTTAGAAATGTGGCCACAACAATCGACATTTTGTCTTATAGTTTCTTTCTACTCTGGCTTCTCTGCTTTTTAGCTTCCTCTGTTGCCTCCTCGCTTTCCTCTCTGTCCACCATCACCTCAACTTCCAAACCACAGACAAGGTACCGTTAATGGGATAGTTCTACCACCGTGTGGAAAGCCCACTTTAAACATAGGCAGTCAGCTTTCTCCTCCTCAGAATCTTCCCTCGCCTCCCTCAACAGCAGCATGGCACGCACATGCCTCTGCAATGATGTTAGTTGGTCATGTGTGACCTAGTGGTCATTTGAAAGAAGTTCTTTAGGGCCTAAAGGAAGCTTCACGATTGGAATGTTTACTTTCTCTTTCTTAAAGTCTCTCATCTCCTGAGACGTAAGTGGATGCTTACAGGCTTAAGAGAAGGCAAAAGAAGAAAGGAATATGGCCTCATAGTTAATTTTCATCTTCCAAAAAAGCAGTAAATGGCATTTGTTTCTCTGAATGGCCAAACACAAACATTTCATAAATAAATCCACAAATAAAACCATATCACTTTAAAGATACAAAATTAATACATATAGATTGAAGAGGAATTTTATCTTCAAGAGGCCACCAAAGCCAAGCTGTGCATGCAGAGTGTTTGCTTGCCATCTGATTTTTTTTTAATGGAACATAAAAATCATCTGGTTAGGAAGTATTCATTTGTTCTTCTTAAATGTGTAAAAAGATAGAGGCATTCCGACTTTTTGTTTTATATTTTCTATCAAGACTTCATAGAAGAAATTTCATTTTAAATAAAATAATTTTGAAAAATTACTTTTAAGAGAGTAAATTTCCATAGATCATTCTCAGCAGGTCTTATAAGTCTTTTAATATGAGATCCTTAGTTTTTATTAGTGTATTATAAATTATTTATCTTGCAAAAATACATTAAAATAGAATTAGAATGTCTTTGGTTTATATGACTCATGATACTAAGTCAAAAATAATATAATATGTGTTATTCAGAAAGAAATGTAAATGTGGCCTAAAAAGAACATTTTTGAGTCAGCTTCACATTAAACATTGAACAGAAAAGTTGACTTATTTAAAATAAAGCTAGTCACTGCATCACCATGCTACATGTAAACGTTTCTTTGTAAATAAGGATGAACTGACGGTGCTTGAAAGTACTGTTCATCAAAATCACAACAAGAAACCAAATATTATAAACATGTAAAATTCCATGTTTATTTAATATCCATTACGTAGCTGGTTCATTGAAACCAGACTTTGTGAAGACAAATAACATTTCTGATGAACATAAACAATTTCATACAGTCGAAATGCATTCTGCGTTTTCACATGAATAAAGCTGTCATTATACAGTGGCTCCAGCAATAAAGACCTTGCCTGGAATTGGCATGGCATCACTCAGTGCTGCAAGGCAGCCTGGGCCTCCATCCAGCTCTGGAGGAGAGATGAACAGCTCCACATCCAGGAGCCTGGAGATCAGCACATCCATACTCGGTTGTGACAATCTTCACTCAGGATCCGTGTTACCCTCCAGGGCACTTGGTCTCATGGGCAACTTCTCAGAGGACACATCCAGAGCTCCAGACAGGCCTTCCTAGTACAAACATTTTTAGAAAGTTAAAAGCAGTATACCAGAATTCAAAAAGGCTCAATCTAGTTGAATTTATTCATAGTATTGCTAATTATTCATTCTTATAATTGCTTGTGTACCAAGCACTGTGTTAAGAACGTTTACGAGCTCATAAAATGGACAGAAGACTCAGATAAACACCGTAATTATGTTTGCCCCAGAGCCAAAAAGAGTGAACATAGGCTCATAGGCAATAGGTGATAGAAGCAGATGGCTCTTTGTGTCATCAAGAACTACCCTGGAAGAACTAGTGGATACCTATGTCCAACACTGTCCACTAGCTAAAAATATCCTCAAGGCCTTTCACGGTTACTTGATTGTTTTTTTATATAGACTGGGAAACTGAAATTCTTGATGTTCTTGAAAGGCCTCTTTCTCTCCCCTTTGATAATGTGTTTTCCTTTTAATTTTTCTCATTTTTACTAATTCTTTGAGAATTTCATATAGTGCGTTTTGATCACACTCACTTTCTTCCCCCTTCCTCTCAGAATAACTACCACTTTCCTACACACCCTACTTTGTGTTGTGTTCTGAAAACCAGTAAACTACAGTTGGTGATGCCCTTATACTCTCGCCTGAGCGCCCTTCCACTGGAGTATGGACAACCTAGCAGGGGTCACACCCTTAAAGAAAACTGATTGTTGCTCTCTGCACAGCTATCATTTGCCAACAGCTCCCTCACTCTAACCTCCCCTCTCCTTGCTGAGATTCTGTGTCTTCTGAACTTACGTAGATCTTTCGTGTGCTATCTCAACAACTGTGAATTCATATGTACATTCCAAACCATGCTACAAACATCTTTGCTCCTAAGAGTGACCATGTGATAGCTTCTGGACAGTAAGAACTAAGTTGCTGGGGAGGTTTACAAGAATACTTTTGTTTTTAAGAGATAGGTGGGTTAGATATGGTAGTTCATGCTTGTAATCCCAGTACTCAGGAGGCTAAGGCAGGATGATGCCCTTGGATACATGACAAGTGATAGCCCACCAGGACTAGAAGAAGAGCCTGTTTAAAAACAAACACTCCAATGATAACAACAAAACCTGAGATATATAAAAGAAAAGATGCAGGCCTGATACTTTTTTTCATCCTTCCTCCTTATAGATTCTGAATTATCCATATTTGGAGTTCTTGATTCATATTTTTGTTAGGCCAAATTAATTCAGTTTCACCCTACTTGTAGCTAATAGTGATGAGTCATCTGAAGCTATTTTATAAAGTATTAGGACTAATTAGGGAATATCAGAGATAATTGCTGTGGGATGGTCTGTATGGCAAATTGCTCTGATTGGTCAATAAATAAAACACTGATTGGCCAGTGGCCAGGCAGGAAGTAGGTGGGACAAGGAGAGAAGAGAATTCGGGGAAGCAGAAGGCTGAGGCAGAGAGACACTGCAAGCCACCGCCATGACCAGCAGCATGTGAAGACGCCAGTAAGCCACCAGCCACATGGCAAGGTATAGATTTATGGAAATGGACTAATTTAAGCTATAAGAACAGTTAGCAAGAAGCCAGCCACGGCCATACAGTTTGTAAGCAATATAAGTCTCTGTGTTTCCTTGGTTGGGTCTGAGCGGCTGTGGGACTGGCGGGTGAGAGAGATTTGTCCTGACTGTGGGCAAGGCAGGAAAACTCTAGCTACAGATAATCACTTGTTAAGTAAAAGGATGAGTTTTATTTCTTGATTGTGGGATATCCTGTACTACATTTTTACAGCCGATTAGTGTCAGGCACATTTTTCTGCCTGTGAAAGTACACACTCACATCTTAGAAATGGCTTTGGGCTCTTCTTGCTATTTGCACAGGAGGAAGGGCTGCAGCTCTTGCCCTCACTAGAAGAGTCCACAACTGGAGTTGTTCGGGGCCCAGCAGTCACAAGGAGGCATATTTGAGGGCAGAAAATGAGAGATTGCTGGAGAAAGTAAGATACTCAAAATACCTGTTTAGGATTTGCCATTAAATTAAATAAATTAAATGTACTTTCTCCCCTTATTTTGGTAGTAACTGAAATCTCTTCTCCAGCATGTGATCCCAGACAAGGTAGCCTCACCATTCTGAAAATAGTTAACCCATTATTCTGCAAATTTATTAACACACAACATATAAAGATCCTAAAACATCACACTGTACTCTGTAAAGACTTGCTGTGACTGAGATATGAAGTAAGAAAGGGAAAATGCTTTAGGGGTTATACAGAAGCCCTATTGTAATGGAAAGGTAATTAATCATACATTTTCTGATTGGGCACAGTTGGCAGAGAAAGCAGCAGCTCTTCTAGGCTGTAAGCTTCCTGAGGCCAGTGGCTATGACTTATAGATATTTTAGCTTCCTCACAGAACTTAGAATTCCAAAATAATTTGCAGTTATTTGACTAGAAAACTGTTTTTGTATATGTCATATAATTTCATAATAACTTAATGATTATCAACCTAAACAACTCACGTTTTTCTAGAAGCAACTTTGCTGCATTTATGGTTGAGTACAATGCTTGGACTAGAAGGCCACTGTGAAGAGACAAACCAATACTGTGGGTGATAAGATGAAGGATGGCAAGCCCCACCCTCACTGCCTCAAAATGCAGTGGTTTGCTGTGCATTCACCAATCATCTTCTAAGCAACCCAGAAGACATGCAGATTATGTGTTTCCAGCATAAAGGAAGTTTTTAAGGAAAGCAAAGCTTTGTGGCATTAACTATTCTAATATGTAACATCAAATTTACTTGTTGTAAATTAAAATGAATAACCACAGAGCAAGAGAGCTGGTTCAACAGTTAAGCATTAGTATGCACTTCTTTGTAGAAGACTGGAGTTCAGTTCCCAACACCCTCATTGGGTAGGTGTGCTTACAATGCTTTTAACTCCAGCTACAGGGTGTCAAAATTTTTCTGGTATCAGTGGGCACTGTACTCATTTGCACACAACTACACAGTACACATAGTTAAGGAAAAATCAAATCCTTGAAAAATGATAATATCCAATATTCTGAAGCATGCAGGCTTTGTTTGATTTTTACACATGGCTCTGGGGTTGATGTTACTGCCACATGTGAACACATGCAATTCAGAAAGACAATTTACTTTCCCAAGTATCAGCTTTAGTCCACTTGGACCCCAGAGTTCTTTGCATTGCTCTATCAGATGCCACTGGAATGTTATTTTGTCCAGTTCCAATGAAGGGGTAAAGGAGGGGATAAACCTACAGTCTAATCGCTGCCCTAAATCCCTCTCTACTAACAAGGCCTTTTTCTTAACGAGAGGTCTTCTGAGAAGTCATTCTGATAAAGAACGCATTCACTAACGCCGGTCTTCTCACTGAGCATGCTTGGACAAGAATCAGAGTGATTTTCTAAAGGTCTTCAGTTCGTGCTGGTTTTTCAGTGCTCCCTTTTTCTCCTCTTTAATGTCCATTTTCAAAGGAACATGGAAGAGTAACTCTAAGTGCTAGGATTGCTCTGGGGTATTTAACAGGTGTTGAAACCTGTGTCCAGGTCATAGGTTCAGGTGCAAAAACATACGGCTTTCTCTTCTGCTAACCGGTGATTTCCCACAGAAAGACCAGACCAGCATCTTTGAAAGAGCATGTCTTCCTATAAAAGTGCTCAGCCCTGGGCTTGCAGCAGTGGTTCTGGTGTGGAGTCAGCTGACACTGTTGCCTCTGAGACCTGACAAGGCAGAAACATCAGCCACTCCCGTGACGTGGTGTGTTTCTTACGCTGTGGCAAAGACAGCTGGATACAAGCAACCATGTGAAGTGGGATTGTATATCATTCTTAAAATAGTTCTTGAGGGGCAGTGAGATCATTCAGCAGGCAAAGGCATTTGATGCCAAGCTTGTTAACCACAGTTCCATCTCCAGAGCCCGCATGGTGAAAGAAGAGAGTGGATTTCCACAAGCTGCCCTGGGACCTCTGCATGTGTTGCCCCACTACACGAAATACATGTCAAAAACTTGATTCACAGAAACACTTCTCTCTTTTTTCCCCCTGAGTTTGGGACAAGAAGGATTAAAGTAAACAGCAGAAAGAACTGAAAAGAGAAAATGGACGATACAAGTCTAGACAAAATTAGAAAAGTCATAAAAACATGGTCAAATGGGTCAATAGCTAAACATGACATAAACTCTGGATCATAAGGGTGAAGGCCAAAACAGAAGACAGCTAGTTCAGAACACATGCATTGTAAATTAGCTTTTTTACTATCTTTAAATGTCTTAAACATTGTCTTCAGTTATATTAATAAAGAAGAAAGATCAGCTGGATTCCTATAAATGAAATTAATGTCTTGGTTTCTGGATTGGACCAAAGATGTTATAAGGACTTCTTTCTGTCTGGTTGTGCCGAAGAGGTACATTTTCCACTGTTTGCTGTTGAATATGCCTTATTGCCAGCAGGAATCACATCACCTATGATAGCAATTGCTGTGAAATACTAGGTCTCACTTTACAGCCGAGAAAACTGTCACAGAAGGACACTGCATCCCTGTCTCAGAAGGACACTGCATCCCTGTCACAGAAGGACACTGCATCTCTCTCAAAATGCAATTAATTCACAGAGTTAGAATTCAAACCCAAGCAGTCTTTTCTAAGTTCCTGTTCTTCCATGGCGGGCTAATTCTCACATATTTAATGTAGATAAATATTTCAGTCTTTTTAGAATTAAACTTTACAAAAAAATAAAGCTACAGTTTTATTTGGAATATTTAGTGAGACCAGGACTGACCCAAAAAGTTGTATGATGTAGTAGAACTGTAATTATGTTTCTAATTCATTTAAGTGGATTAGATATGAAACTATATTTTCAAAAGTAAGAGATGAGAATATTCTCTTGTCTACATAATGATGGCTACAGAAATCTAAAAACATTTTATGATTAACAGGAAACTATGTATTTCAAGTGATTTTATTTTATTATTTTATTTGAAAAGCTAAGCTAGTTCAGTTGGAATCCATTCAAAAAACAAAGCAAAGCTACACTTTGGAGCTGGGTGTAAATATACTTGGGGAAGGTGAAGACGAACTAAGACGTGTTTACCCAAACATTTGGAATAATGGTTCATGGATCCTATGGAATACTTGCCCTCCAAATAGAATTATACACAGGACCCTATTGGCTCATTTCTTAGTTTCTTCTTCATGCTATAAATCCCCTTGCTAGATAGGAACTCTAGTCCATATCACTACCATGCTGTCAAATCAAGCTACTTGTTGTGTGGGAGGTTTGAGTGAAATAAAATATAATGATTCCTCAATTTACTTTGTTATATTTTTAATAGGAAATTCAACCAGTGTC